TGTTTATTGTTTTATTTAATAAATATCTTTTAGTCACAGTATTCCCCCTATTTTGTTTATTCATCATCAATTGAAGGAGGATGGCTGTGGAGGATACTTTATGATATGCTTTTATATCATTATTAACTTGTAAGTGTAACTGATTACAGTGCAGGGTAAATATTACTTATAATCTACACTTATTTGCGGTCTATTTTCTCTCCTACATGTCCATGAGTTCGTACTGAGGATTCCCTTCTATCCAGTGCTCCATTATTGAGATATGCCTACTATCAATTTATGCCTGTGAGTGTAATCAAACCAGCAGGGATTTGATGTATTTTGGCTTTACTACTCTATGAGTTTTTATTTTTCTGTTCTGTAGATCTTTTCTGTTTCTATTATATTACGAGGACTGGGAGGAGTCCTATTTGTTCTACAGTTTGGAATTAATTAGGTATTTGTATACCTGTTTGTGTGTTTGTTCCTCTAATTGGTGATTAGTGTTTTTTGTATATCTGTCACATAGGATAATATGCATTAATTTACAAAACTAAAGTATGATTGGGAAAAATGGGAAGAAGAAATGAAAAAGTCTATTGTTTATAAAATTAATTTTATAGCATGACAGGAGGATTCATATTTGCTTAAGTCTCTCTTTACTATAACTCCACAGCAGCACATTAACATAGAGAGATAAACACCAAAGACAAAAACATAAGGCATCTATATAAAGCTCCTCCTAAGCCACCATTTCCTCTTTCTTTGCTGCTCTGCAGACAGTACAGGTCAGAGTACCACTGCCTCCTAATATTTTATGGATGGTTGTGTGTTTTACTGTATATAGCTTGTATTTGTTCTTGGGTATTGCATTACAGTTTTACTGTATTTCTTTTCTATTGTTTATGTACTTTTTACGTTTCTTTAGGGGATATTTCTTTGCAGCTTTTCCCTTATTTCTGCTTTGCCTCTTCTTCTCTTGAGTTTTGTTTTTCTGTGTGCTCGCGGTCGCCGAGAAGCGGTCTTCCGACCGCCACCCGTGCCGACCGCCGGGGTAAGACTCCGGCGGTCCCTTGTGTTCCTGGTGTTGATTCCCGCCCGCCGGCTTCGTCCGCCGAGCGAGAATCCTTGCCTGGCTCCCTGCCCTACCCACGTTCCCGCACGCCGGTTCGTTGTTTTACCCGAGTGGTGTGGAGGCAAAGCAGGGAGCTCTTCTGTCTTGCTGAGGGAGCCTCTGCTCCCGACCGCACTTTTCCCCGCAACCACGTGGTCGGACGCGGGGGTGCGCAGCTCGTTCCTGGGTCTCTGCCTATTTAAAGCGGCAGTGCCCGTTTTTTCTCTTCTAGTTGGTGTACTTCTTCTGTTCCACCCCTCTGTTTGGGGGGACATCTCTGCAGTTTCTGCTTTAACCTGGCATGTGCTTGTTCATTAATTTTGCATGCTACTGGACTATGCTGTACATACACATTACACTGCATGCCACCTATATGAGACCCTGCTTGACATCAGTGCCCTCTCATTGACCTAGAACTGGTTTGAGGACCCACCCCGTCTCTACCCTGCATGCCCTATATGTCTTTTTTACTGCATGTCTACAATAAGGATCTACATTTCTGCCTGCATACACCACTGGGTCGGTGCTGCCCGTACCCATTTACTGGCCTGCAGAGGCGGCTCTAGACTTTATGAGGCCTTAGGCGAAACTCAAACATGAGGCCCCACTAACAAAAAAGTGTTACATATACACATTGATGCACAGTTTACCTGTGTATGTGCCTGAGAGTGTGTCTGACAGAGAGTATCCTTGTGTGTGAATGTATGTCTCTGTGAGCATGTTTGCGTTTTTGTCTGAGACCCTATGTGTATGGGGTAGCTGCTTGAAGTGTGTTGTGTGTATGGGGGGGTGATGGTGAGAGGCGGGTGATGGTGAGAGGCGGGTGATGGTGACAGGGAGGTGATGGTGACAGGGAGGTGATGGTGTGGGGGGTAATGTGAGGAGGGGTGATGTGAGAAGGAGGGGGGTGATGGTGAGTTGATGCTGAGGGTGGTGGGGGGGTGAGGGTGGGGGTGGTGATGCTGAGTGGCTGGGGGGGGTGCTGGGGGGGGGTAGTGAGGCTGTGGGTGGAAGGGGTGAGGCTGTGGGTGGAAGGGGTGAGGCTGTGGGTGGTAGTGAGTGAGGGTGGTGTGGGTGGTAGTGAGACTGAGGGCGGTTGGGGGTGGTGATGCTGAGGGTGGTGGGGGTGATGCTGAGTGTGGTGGGGGGGTGATTCTGAGGGTGGTGATGCTGAGGGTGGTGGTGGGGGTAGTGAGGCTGGGGGTGGTGTGGGGGGTAGTGAGGTCAGAGAGATCAGATGAGTCCTTCAGGACTGTAGTGGACACTGAATACACTAGCCTAGCTATCAATTTCCCTATCAAATCAGCAGCAGCTACACTGTCCCTCCTCTCACTAAGAATGCAGCTTCACAATGAATGTAAAATGGATGCTGTCCAGGAGGTGGGAGGGTCTGGGAGGGAGTGTCTGCTGCTGATTGGCTGGAATGTGTCTGCTGACTGTGAGGTATAGGGTCAAAGTTTACTCAATGATGACGAATACCGAACAGGGGCGGACCGAACAGCGCATATGTTCGCCGTCCGTGGCGAACAAGCGTTGTTCGCCAGGAACTATTCGCCAGCGAACCGTCCGGGACATCACTAGTGATGACGTATGCAAATCCATGTCATCAACCTGGTCTAAGGAGGCAGAGCCATAAAAAGGCTTTGATATGCATCAGCTCTATTTGGACAGAATGACAGAAGGAGGAGCACTCGCATGGAGGCAGCGTTTGTGTAAGTATACTAAGCGCATAGGAAAATGCCTCTGATATTCTCATCAGGTGGGGTGCCGTGACACTAGCCAACACAGTAAAATAAGAAAATTATTTTAAAGAAACAAAACTGTATCCACAAGCTATTTCTTTTGTCTGTTTTTCTGGATTTAAGGATTATTTACCTAGTCTCTACTCTAGTAAGGATTCAAACTATATTTTTCCTGTTCGATAAGGAGAGACAGCTTTCATAAAAGCCCACCTGAGCACAGTTAGTCTGAGTGATGGGAGGAAGTGATGTCACATTACATCCTGTCCCTCAGACTCATTATACCAAGTGTGTCTATGAGCGAGATAGAAAAGCTGCTTCTGCTGTTAGAGTATGCAGAAACCAACTGTCCATTGGAAGCCATCGCTGTCTGCTTGAAGTCAGGGCCATCTTTAATACTAATTGGACCCTGGGCAGGCATTTGCTTGGGCCCCCTGGGCCTAGCATGCAGTCGTGCACTCCGACCCCACACAAAAAAAACCCAACACAAAAAAAAACCAAATAAAAACACACTTAGCCACACTCATTTTTACTGAGACAAAATACACACACACAGATGCAGACACAGACATACATAGAGATACACACATACACAGGTACAGACATACAAAGACAGATACATATACACACACAAGTGCATACACAGACACACATGCAGATACACATTTACACACATTCACTCACTGACAAACATGCAGATAAACAGACACACATACAGATAAACAGACAAATACACTGACAAACATGCAGATACACACAATAACATAAACATACAGATACATACAGACCCACATGCAGATACACAGACACAATAACACACATACATATACAGATGCAAAGATACACACTAATACACATACAGATACACAGACAACTACACTGACACACATGCAGATACACAGACACACAGAATGATACACATTTGGATACACACACTGACACATACAAACATTTACACGCACAGATACACATACAAACACACAGATACACATACAGACAAATCCACACACACAGATAAACATACAGACACACAGATACACAGGTAGGCATACGGACACACATATGCATACAGACACACAGATACACATACAGACACAGATAAACATACACATACAGACATACAGTCACACAGATAGGCATACAGATACACAAATGGACACACAAACACAGACACACATACAAATAGAAAGATGCACAAAAACAGAAACACAGACACACAGATACACATACAGATACACATACAAACATGCAAAATTAAATTGTTTAGGACAACAGGGCCTGAATAACGAATCCAATCTATTTCGATTTTTACACCATAGATACAATGAGGATTTCAAGCAAATAATATTTTATACCTATACAATTAAAAGTTGTGTTAGCTCAATTTAACGTTCTGAAATTAACTTGATGAATTAACTTTATGAAAGGTTTTTTTTAACAAAAAGCAATTTAGGAAAATGACTTGTATTTAGCAGCACATTTCATTAGCGGCAGATAAACACTAAGTGTTCCAAAACATGTGGAGCAGCTGAACACTTTGCTGGAGGCAAGAAAAGGGCTGTCTTTACCACAGGACAAAATGGGCCAATACTTTAGTCCCTGTATTATGTAGGGATCCTTAGCAGCTGCCCCTTGGGCCCTGTACACCAGGGATTTGTAACATATGCGGATATGCATCCAATGTTTGAATGTTTTACTTGCACCCACCTAAAACAATAATTATATAGGTTTTACTCTCCGATGATGATGATCTCCACAAAGGGATAAATTGATGGAAGGTTAGTGTGCATGTGCAGCAAATGCCACGCTGCACCAATCAGCATCTCCTCATGCATTAGGTCAATACATCTTTATGAGAAACCTACGGCATCTTCATGTAGAGCGTGAAGATGCCAAATGTCGCTCAAGCAAAGATTGCAGGACCGAACAATAAAGGGTTGTCTGTGTGACAGCCACTAGAGGAGGTCATAGAAAGCAATGTAAAAACTTGCCCTTTATCAGAAAAGGCAGTGTGTTTACATTGCTGAGACAGTAATATAGAGTGTCCCTTTAAATTCCCAATTCACACTTTAGTGAATAACCCTGTCAACTTTCAAATCACAACAATGCTAAAACTATTGAGTCCTTTGCTCTCCTTCCCCATTTATTTTTTCCTCTGCTCTCCTTACCTTTTTCTCCCATCTCCTCTCCAGAGTCCTTCCTTTTTCTCCCATCTCCTCTCCAGAGTCCTTCCTTTTTCTCCCATCTCCTCTCCTGAGTCCTTCCTTTTTCTCCCTTCTCCTCTCCTGAGTCCTTCCTTTTTCTCCCTTCTCCTCTCCTGAGTCCTTCCTTTTTCTCCCTTCTCCTCTCCTGAGTCCTTCCTTTTTCTCCCATCTCCTCTCCAGAGTCCTTCCTTTTTCTCCCATCTCCTCTCCAGAGTCCTTCCTTTTTCTCCCATCTCCTCTCCTGAGTCCTTCCTTTTTCTCCCATCTCCTCTCCTGAGTCCTTCCTTTTTCTCCCATCTCCTCTCCTGAGTCCTTCCTTTTTCTGCCTTCTCCTCTCCTGAGTCCTTCCTTTTTCTCCCATCTCCTCTCCTGAGTCCTTCCTTTTTCTCCCATCTCCTCTCCAGAGTCCTTCCTTTTTCTCCCATCTCCTCTCCTGAGTCCTTCCTTTTTCTCCCATCTCCTCTCCTGAGTCCTTCCTTTTTCTCCCATCTCCTCTCCTGAGTCCTTCCTTTTTCTCCCATCTCCTCTCCTGAGTCCTTCCTTTTTCTCCCATCTCCTCTCCTGAGT